GCACCTCTTTGGTGGGAACTTTGCACACCAGGCATCAGTAGCCCAGGTGGTTGGACAACAGGGCCGGGGCCGGGCTGGGATCGAGGCCAGTCTAGATGTGGAGTACCTGATGAGTGCTGGCGCCAACATCTCCACCTGGGTCTACAGTAACCCCGGTACTATCAAGGGGATTGGTTGGTGGGAAGAGGGATAGGAATGAGTGTTGATCTTTGCTCCCCCAAGAGAATCCCGTGAACTAGAGGGAGATTCTGACAACCTCCCCCCCGCCCCCTCCCAAAAGTGACTGCCTTGTGCTCCCCTTCCCACACAAAAAATCCAGGCCGGCATGAGTCACAGGAACCCTTCCTGCAGTGGCTCCTGCTGCTCAGTAATGAGTCAGCCCTGCCACCTGTGCACACCGCGAGCTACGGAGACGACGAGGACTCCCTCAGCAGCGCCTACATCCAGAGGGTCAACACTGAGTTCATGAAGGCTGCTGCTCGGGGTCTTACCCTGCTCTTTGCCTCAGGTGACCTCCTACTGAACACTTAAACACCCCCCAACCCACCCACCCACCCACCCAAACTGAGAGCTCTGACCCCACAGTGACCCCTGATCCTGATCTCTGACTCATACTCTGAATTGAACAGGGGCCACTGACCTGACCTCTAAACTCTGACCTCTTGCACTAAGGACTAACTCTTGAATTCCTCTCCGACAGCCAAACCTACATACCAAGCTCTGACCAATTAATCTGAGTGCTAAACTTGATCTCTCTCAGGTGACAGTGGGGCCGGGTGTTGGTCTACCTCTGGAAGACACCAGTTCCGTCCCAGCTTTCCTGCCTCCAGGTAAGCACCCCAGCTCACCACTTATCTGTGACCACCAACCTTTCATCTGTGAAGGATCCTTACAAGGATCTTTATGATCTGGAACCTTTGCCTTGACCCCACCGGGTGCTCCTACGGCTCAGCCTCAGCTTTACATGCCTGGTTGCTGAACTCCCCTCTTCTTCCAGTAGGTCCCAGGCCCCATGTCTCCTGAGTAGGACACAGCTCCCAGTGTTTCTTTCTCAGGTCCTAGGCATTTTAGTGGAAGATATGGTGAGTGTTCTGTTAGGAAAAGTATGCAGTCACCTCAGCCAAGCCTTCGGGGTTCAAAACCTTAGTCATCGACACCTACATGCTTCCCCACAGAGTCCAGCCCCTCCAGCAACACCCAGGCCATCGCCATCCATTTTGGAGGTACCCTTAGGACCCCTAAAATCTGAGTGCTGTCTTCTGCCCTCAGCCCTTATGTGACCACGGGTGGGAGGCACGTCCTTCAAGAATCCTTTCCGAGTCACAACTGAGGTTGTTGACTATATCAGTGGCGGCGGCTTCAGCAATGTGTTCCCACGACCTTCATACCAGGTATGTGTATGTTTATGTGGGTGGATGGGAAGGGAGTCGGGGAGGTCAGGAATCCTCAGTTCAGAAGACATACTCACTCAACGATGCTTTTCAGGAGGAAGCTGTAGCCAAATTCCTGAGCTCCAGCCCCCAGTTGCCACCATCCAGTTACTTCAATGCCAGTGGACGTGCCTACCCAGATGTGGCTGCGCTCTCTGATGGCTATTGGGTGGTCAGCAACCGCGTGCCTATTCCATGGGTGTCTGGCACCTCGGTGAGAATCAGCCTGGCCTCAAACCTTCAGGAACTACCCTCAGCCTGTACCCCCCAAGACCTTTTGCCCAGAACCCCTGACTTCTCAGAGACCTCTGATCCTTTCAAACATCCCTTCCCCAAAAATCCAATTACTTGCACCCTTGCAGGCTTCTACTCCAGTGTTTGGAGGGATCCTATCCCTGATAAATGAACACAGAATCCTCAATGGCCGCCCCCCTCTTGGCTTTCTCAACCCAAGGCTCTACCAGCAGCATGGGGCAGGACTCTTTGATGTGAGTGTGGAAGGGAGGTTGTGTGAACCTTTTCATAAGCGTATGGGGAGTGCTAAGATAAACCTTAGAGCAGTTCTGATGGGGTAGGATAGTCTTTGGGATCTGAATACAGGGTGAGGGGGGTAGAATCTGTCAGTATTGGTACCAGCAGGCCCAGATCTGATGCCCACCTTATCCCTAGGTAACCCGTGGCTGCCATGAGTCCTGTCTGAATGAAGAGGTGCAGGGTCAGGGTTTCTGCTCGGGCCCTGGCTGGGATCCTGTGACAGGCTGGGGAACACCCAACTTCCCAGCTTTGCTGAAGACATTAATCAACCCTTGACCCTCTCCTGGTGGGAGAGAGGGCCTATCCCCTGCCCCACAGCTGGTAGCTTGTTTCCTTATTCTTCACTGTTGGAAGCCCTGCTGACCCCTCGCCTGTTGACTGCTGCAGACAGCTTACATCCCTAACCCTGAAGTGCTGTGAGCATGACTTGACTCCCAACCCTACCCTGCTCCATCATCTAGGTCTCCCTGCTCCTGCCTCAGGTTCCTCTACATACGCTATAACCAGTAGTGTTTGGGAGCACACCCCACCCCCCATTCCTTCTTTCTCTTTGCAACCAGGCTTTTCCCAAGGGTTGTCTACACTGTCTGTGTACACGATTTTACTTTGTGTTTGCATCTCAGTTCATTTCAATGAGACCTCAGTTCTCACTTTTTTACTCTTTCCTCCCCTGACACAGAAACAATGGTCTCCCTGCTGCTTCATCAAGTGCACTCCTCCCAATCTTTACTTTATGGCCCTCTGTCACAGTTGCCCACTCCCTCTCTTTCCTTAGCTTCTAGGGCTTAACTTCTTTTCTGACCATTCCCTTTTCCTCCTTCTCTTTCTCTGCTTCCTCATTGATGTACTTCACTACTGCATCCTTATTTAGTCTTTTGCTCTCCTCACTATCCATTGTCTTCTGGAACAAATCAATGATTGGCATGCACAGCCATCACCATCTTACTAAATCAGACTTTCTATCCAACAGTGATTGATACCTCAAATGCACAGATGTGCAGTTCTCAACACTTCATCTCTCTTCCTCCTTCCCAATCCTTTTATTTCTTCTTGGTAAATATACTATGCTTTTTCCAACCAAACCAGAGAGCTAAGTGTCATTCTAGACTCCCATTTCCATCACCTCCCCCCAGCTTCAATTAACAAGTCCTGCTGACTTTACCTCTTACATGTATCTTTATCAATCCACAAGTCCTGCCAGTTATATTTCCTATGTATATCTAGAACTCATCTACTTCACTCCACCTCCACTGCTACTACATTAGCTTAAAGCCATGTTCTCTCTCCTTTGAATTGTAGGCTCTTGCAAAAAGTGACCTTTCTTCCTGCCCTTTCCTAAACCATCTTCCAGAGATAAAATGAAAATCACATCAAAGTCATTTACTTTGAAAGATTATTGGATAAAGTTTAGGCTTTTTATCATGACTCACAAACCTGACCCCTTCCTTGATATTTGTTGCTGAGTAACAAATTGTTTATCCTCCCCTACTCTTCCCTCAAATATATTCTTTCACTTTTGCTCAAGATCTTCCTTGCCCTTAATACTACCCCTGACTCCCCTTTGCTTGATTGATGTCAAGGATTCTTTCCACATTCAGTTCAGAAGCCACCTTCTCTTGTGAACTGTTGGCTCCCTGAAGCTGGTTGATTTTGGTATAGTACTAAAGTCCTAGAATTTTGAAGCCAAACCTGTTTGATTCTTGCTTCTAATACAGACTAGTGGAGAGCCTTGGCCAACTAAGTTCATCTCCCTGAGCCTTTTCCTCACGTGGTAAGTGGGGATCTCTATACCTATCTCTCATAACTATCAGTGAGTAATTAAATGGAATAAAGGTGATAGAGTGCCTGACACAAAAGTTGGCAGCAGATGTTCATGCCCTTCGTTTTTTGCACTGCACTCTGTGTCTACCTCCAGTATTGTAACTCCCACAAAGTATTGAAATTGCCAGGTGACCTGTTTGCCTCCCTTTCCAAGACCGGTAGTGCCTAGAAGACTAGAATCTTGTTTTACTTAACTTTGTATTCCCAGGCCCCTAGCTCAGGATTGGCAAATAGGAATTAAATAAATGTTTGCTACTTCAAGAACCTCACTCTTGCACTCGCTGTGATTTTTGCATATGTTGTTTACTCGGGCTGAATACCTTCCGGTCTACAGCTGTCCTCATTTCTCCGGGCATCTGGCGGGGCGGGGGCTTTCCTCCTCCACTACGAACCCTAAAAGGCAGAATAAGGGAACTACAAGGGAGGCCGACTGGCAGGGAACCGGCGGTCGAGGGGGGCCGGGCCGGGCCGATGAGTCCAAAGCAAGGTCTTGAGGAGTCAGGGCTGAATGAAGGTCCCAGCCCGTGGGAGACAGTCCTCGACTTTCCAGGGTTCCCAACCCGGTGGAGCCGCCTGGGTCAGGCAGCGGGAGGCGAACCTCCGAGGTTTGGGCTCCGCCCGGTCGGTGTCAGGTAGCCGGCATTCAGGCAAGCGGTAGGCGGGGAGCCCCGCGGCCACGGCGTGGGCGGGGCCAGCGCGAGGCGTCTGACGTCATCCTGGTGTGTGCGTAGCGTGAGCGGAAGCGGAAGCGGCTCTGTTCTGCTTCTCCGCCTCCTCCACT